AAAGTGTTATTTGTTCTCGAAAGGAAAAAATTTAGCAGTTAGCGCAGGTAAGAATCGTTCATGTTCTATGCAAGAGAAGACCGCAGTTTTTTTCGATGCACTTTCCTAAGCTCTGTAAGTTCCTGATTTGTATGGTAGAGACCCGAACTTTTAGACCCTCTTTTTTCATCTTTCATATTAATTAGCTTTATCATTATGCTACTTTTTCGCACTTCATTTTTCCACTGCATTTCATTTTCTTCTTTTGATAAAATTTTACAAGCTTTTGGTAAAATTTTGTCTTTGGTTAACTTTTTTCGTTTTTAGCTGAATTTTGTACTAATCATGTTTGCAATTTTCTTATATTACTTCCGTTCTTTTTTGCTATTATATATGGTTTTTATGGACGCGATTGCATCATTAAACTGATGGAAGTGCACCGGAGGTTTTTCCTAGAGCAACTAGTTCGATGAGCTTTTATCAAAGTATCACTAATCAATCTTTCGGTTTCTTTAAAACTTTCGATTTCTTAAAATTTTTTCTATAATGCTATGAACGCCCTTGCCATGAACGCCCTGCTTTCAAGCAACCATCCAAAGAAGGGCAGCCTGGTCAGCTGGTGATTGCTGTTGTCACATGTCATCACTCGAGCATCCTAACTGCTTTCATCTTTCACGGGGAGCGAAAATACGGAGGAAGTTTTGACTTTTTTTTGATTTAGTTGCAGCAGGATTTCCATCAGGTCAATATCGAATAGAATCGAAAGCTCTGGAGGTTAAATTAGCGATTGCTGATGGTGCTGATGAGATTGATGTCGTGATAAGCCGAGATGCTGCATTGGAACAGGACTGGAGACGTGAGTGATTCTTTGAATTTTGATCACTGCATTATAGATTTTGGGAAATTGCTGTAATTCACTGCACTTGGCCGTGCAGCATACATTCACTTCTGGATTCTGGTTCGAGTTGCAAAAGCCGTGACTTCGGACCTTTGCGAAGGTTCCAGGTGTTGCGTTCAACGTTGCTAACTCTCCCTCAACATCAAGCTGCAGGCTGAGCACGAGAAATCTGTAGAAACACTCCCCTCCCATAGGCCCGGCTCCTGCTTCATTTCCCATCTACAAACGGTGTTCCAGCTTTTTTGCGGTCAATAACCCCCTCTTAATTTCCACATTTCACTTAATAATCTGTGCCTCTATCGAGGCCTAGTCTTGGCTTTGAGTAAGGAGGGAGGAGAGGGAAGGAGGGGGCGAAACACCCACCGCACTCCATCTTCTGGTCCGCCAATGTAACCAGCAGCACATGTCCCACCTG